TGCTCTCTCTCTCTCTCTCTTTTTAAAGGGAGGTCACAAGTTTAAAACTTGTAGTTAGGTGTGTGGGTGTTTGGATACATGTGTCTGTGTGTTAAATAAAATATATTAGAACCACCGAGGTCTAGATCAACTAGTTAGAGGTTAGTCTAGTTTAAAAAGACATATTGAGTTTAAATTTGGGTCTGAAGTAGCAATTTAATTTTCGGTGGAGATATATTTCTTAAAGAGGTGCTCGCAAGCTGTTAAGCAAATTAATCTGAATAAAAAAACCTAGGATGTCATAATAATGAAATCCAAAAAAAAAAAAATTTAAAGGCATTCTGCATAGCTGCGTTCAAATATCTGGGATACACGAATGAAAGCAAGATACAAGAATGAAAGCAAAAAACTAAAAATGTTAAAGGCATTCTCCATATAGGATTTGGATTAGTGGGGATGGATGGTGGTAATATTCTTGGATTTTTCAAAATATCAAGTCATGGAATAAAAAAGAAAGCTAATTACTATGCTTTGTTTTTCCCTTATTTTTAGTTAAACCATTTGATTTTTTTAGCCATTTGTTATTCACACCAAATTATTTCAAAACATAAATGTCGTACCGAGAGTTGTTTCTACCTCGCAACAAAAAGAATCATAAAAATTACCAATAAAAATGCGGGGAAAATGAATTATGAGGCCCCGCGTAGGTGGATTATAAGGCACAAAAATGTTTTGAAAAAACAATAATAGGAGCTGTAGATGGGTTGAAGATGGTGATGGCAAGTTGAGTACATGCACTTGGTAGTAAATTAATAAATTATTGTGTCGAAAGATTTACTACCAAGTGACTGTTACCTGCTTAAAATTACCATCACCATCTTTCACTCATGTACAGCTCTTATGTTCAGTGGCAGAGTCAGATTCAAAATGAGAAAATGCAAGATAATTTATTAAAAATTAATAATTTTTTAAAAAACAATAATTTCACTATAATTAAAATAGGGGGAATGGCATTAAGGTCCTAAAAATAAAATTTATTGCAATTTGGATATAAATAAATCTGATATTGCTCTGCAAGCCTTGGTGTCCCAATTGCAATATTTTTTCACAACAAAAATACAATTTTGCCTTTTGTTTGATTTGAATTTAAAACTTGCATGAACCCTTGAAGCAATGAAATAGATCATGCATGACACAACATCCACTATGCATAAGATGATTTCCACACATACTCAACAGAAAGTTTTGCATTTCGAGTATTTCACTAACCTAGGCTCTAACAAAAATGACGACAACCAAGCCCGACACAACATTCACTATGCACCAAATTATGTCCTCGCATGCTTAACAAAAGTCCATGCATTTAAATATTTCACTAGTCTCAGCTTAACAAAATGACAAGTTAGGCAAACCATTGCCCGACATAACATCTACTATGCACAAAACGATGTCCACACATGCCAACAGAAGTCCATGCCTTTAATATTTCAAACACAAAGCCAAGACTACAGAAATAACAAATTAGACAAACTATTACACGACAAATATTACTATGTACAAGACATGTGTAACACACCAAATTTTTTTTTTAAATAATTTAACTCAACCATAGTTGGGTTACAGCCACCCAACACATTTTTATATCAATAATTTCAATATATAAAATATTTTATCACAATAAACATTTCAGATAAATTTTTACCTCCCACATGCCATTAGGCTAAATCACATTTGTCCATCCTTATACTCCCAACAAGTAAACTAAATCACATTTGTCCATCCTTATACTCCCAACAAGTAAAATAAGCAATTTAATAATTTTCAACACAAGCCAGTTATTTGGCCTTATAATCATGCCATTTTAACCAATCCAAAGTAAACCAAATATTAAAATTACAGTCATCCAAATTGTACCAAAAATAGAAATAGTTTGAAAGGCATGATTACATTTATATATTCATATAATTGACAATAAACAAAAAGCCCTAATATTGGCAATATAACACATTATAAATCATAAATTAAATACCCAAAAGAGACAGTGGATCTATACCACTAAGCCTCTGGGACTCCTCCACGTGTCACTCGTGGCTCTTCTCCTGAAAATTGTTAACCACATAATGAGACTCAAAAGTCCCAGTAACCAAAGCCAATTTATGATAGTGTATACAAACAGTTAAGTGTGTGCTTACTAAGTGAGAATTAAAAATAATATAATTCCAACAAATAAAAAAAAATATTACAATACACAAAACAACCATCCTTATATCCCTCCATTAACCTCGAGCCGTAGCCCTCACTCGGTGCTAAATTACCCGGCCAAAGGTAGATTAGCCCGAGCCCTTACAAGCCACCTATTGAGCTCCAATAGGGGCGTACCACGTGGCACATAAATACAACAATAATAGCAAGTCTCCCAACACCTCCCACAATAATTAAACAAATTCATAATAATATTGCACAATTATACAATATTACAAAATTCATAATTTTCTCAATAATCACCCAATTAACATGAAGTAACACTAATCACAAATTAAAAGCATGGTTACCTTGTGGCTTTTTCAATAAATTATTCCTTAAAATTTCTCTCTCACCACAATCTTCACCAGTAATACAATCTACAAATAACATATTATTTATAAATATTAGTTTCAATTTTTGAAACTAATAAAATAATTCTAATAATAGAATTAAAAATATAACATAATTCCTAATTTCAATCTTAATACAAATCTATAGTTAATACTATTAAGTAAAATTTTTAACTCCTCTTTTAATTATCAATAAACATTAATAATCTAAAAATCAAATTTTAAACTAATTTCTATTATCAAAATTTTCTTTTTATTTATAAATTCGTACCTAAAATACCCAAAATTAAAAATTAAGTCTCTAGCTTAGAATCATAATCCTATAACCATAATAATTCATTTCTCATCCCAAATAATCATCTAAACCTCAATAAATCAACATATATTTTCAGATCTAGTTTAGAATTTGATCCATAAGCCACAGATTCAAAGATCATCAACAAATTTATACTCTAGAACATTTATTATACTACTGACAACCTCAAAAACATATTTATTCAACATAAATTCATCCCTCTTCCAGATCTTAAATTTTCTACCACTACAAACTCAGAAACTAAAGAAGAAGGATGACTAAGAAAATTTTTTAGAACACTTACTTAGTCTTAAAAAGCTTAAAATCACACCCTAAATATCCTATTAAAACTCTTACCTTAAAAATTTAGATATTTCGCACCGGCAACTCGCTTCTCTCCGCCTCAGCTCGCGCGCAGGAAAAGAATTGAAGAAATGAAAGGAAACGGGTGAGTTTTATAAAAATTCAGTGGGTCCCACACATTTTTTTATTCTTTTCTCTCTCTTTTTCCTTCTTTTTTTTTATTATTTTATTTTACTGTTCATGCGCGGCGGCCGAAAGTTTCCTTGTTTTTCTCCTTTCTTTGTTTTTACACCTTTCTTTGTTTTTTTTTATAATAATAATTTAATAATATTTTTTTATTTTATTTTTTTCTTTTTATTATTATTTTTTTTAAATTATATCCTAAGTTAGATTTAATAATCATTTTCTACTAATTTATTTACCTCTAAATATTTTTCAAAATTTCTATTAAACCCAAATTAACTATTAAAATTTAAATTGGATGTTACAATTCTCCCCTCCTTTTAAAATTTTGTCCTCAAAATTTGAAGTTAGTAACTATTAACTACTTACTTAATCAAAAAGACGAGGATAATCACGTCGCATACTGTCCTCGGTCTCCCACGTAGCATCACCTGGAGTTGTGCTCTTCCAGATTACTTTAACCAATCTAATGGTCTTGTTTCTTAATTGCTTGTCCTTATAATCCACAATCCTTTCTGGTTCAGCTCTGAATGTCAAATTCTCCCTGAGTTCAATTTCCTCGGGTTCAATTATATGGGAAGGATCTGGTTGATACTTTTTCAGTTGTGACACATGGAATACATTGTGTATTCCAGCAATTTGGGGTGGTAATGCTACTTGGTACGCTACTGGTCCAACTCGTTTTAAGATCTCAAAAGGCCCCATAAACCTTGGTGTCAACTTCTTAGCCTTAATAGCTCTTCCAACACCAGTTACCGGAGAGATTTTCAAAAATACATGGTCACCTACTTCAAACTCAAGCGGTCTTCTCCTCTTATCCGCATAACTCTTTTGTCTACTTTGAGCTGTGAGTAATTTTTGCTTGATTAAAGCAATCTTTTGGGTAGTCTCATCAACAATGTCTGGCCCCAAAACAGTTCTCTCACTTAATTCTGTCCAACACAGTGGCGATCTACATTTTCTTCCATACAATGCCTCATAAGGTGCCATCTGAATGCTAGAATGAAAACTATTATTGTAGGCAAATTCAGCTAATGGCAAGTGACTATCCCAATTACCTCTAAGCTCAATGGCACAAGCTCTTAAACATGTCTTCAAGAGTTTGTATGGTTCGTTCCGTTTGCCCATCGGTCTGGGGGGTGGTAAGCGGTGCTAAAACTCAGACGAGTACCCATGGCTTCCTGTAATGACTTCCAAAAGTTTGATGTGAACCTCGGATCACGATCAGATACAATATTTGTCGGCACTCCATGCAATCTCACCACTTCTCTTATGTAGATTTCAGTTAATTTTTCAAGAGAATACTTGATATTAGTAGCAAGAAAATGAGCTGATTGGTGGTGAGTCGATCTACGATTACCCATATAGTGTCATGACCAGAAGATGTTCTAGGCAATCCTGTAATGAAGTCCATAGAAATGCTGTCCCATTTCCACTCTGGAATATCAAGAGACTGTAGCATCCCGGCTGGTTTCTGATGCTCAATTTTGACTTTCTGGCAAGTCAAACAACGAGTTACATGTTCAATTACATCTCTCTTCATTCTTGGCCACCACCAACCACGTCTTAAGTCATGATACATCTTAGTTGCTCCTGGATGAATGGTATATCTACTCTGATGAGCCTCCTCAAGTAGGATATTTTTCAATCGAGTATCATTAGGCACACACACTCTACCTTTATATCTTACGACATCATCATCGGACACATCAAAATGTTCAGCCTTTTCAGCCCCAATCTCTACCCTAATCTTATTCAAATAATCATCCTTCTGTTGCGCAATTCTAATTTCTTCCCAAAAATTATTCTCAAATTCAGTAATATGTAGAGCAGCCAAACGATTTCGACTACTTCTACATTTACTGCATGAAACTACTCCATAATTCATGTTCTCTGACCATCATGTGAGCAGTATGTACAAGCTTCCTGCTCAGAGCGTCGGCGACTACGTTAGCTTTCCCTGGATGATACTTCAACTCAAAGTCATAATCCTTCAAAACTCAATCCATCTGCGCTGTCTCATGTTGAGCTCCTTTTGATCAAACAAATATTTTAAACTTTTATGATCACTGAAGACCTCAAAAGAAGAACCATAAAGATAGTGCCTCCAAATCTTCAAAGCAAATACCACAGCAGCAAGCTCCAAGTCATGAGTAGGGTAATTTTCCTCATGAGGTCTCAACTGTCGAGAGGCATAAGCCACTACTCGATCCTCCTGCATCAATACACAACCTAAACCTTTCTTAGAAGCATCAATATATAAGGTATAAGGAGCAGTTGGAACAGATAAGGTGAGCACCGGTGTGGTGGTCAACCTCTTTTTCAGCTCCTGAAAGGCAATTTCACACTCGTTCGTCCAAATAAATGGAGCATCTTTCCTGGTCAACTTAGTCAAGGGCATTGCAATTTGTGAAAAACCCTTAATGAAACGACGATAGTAGCCTGCAAGACCCAAGAAACTCCTAATCTCTGTCACACTTCGAGGTTGCTCCCATTTCATCACTGCATCTATCTTACTAGGGTCCACTACTACCCCTTCTTCTGAAACAACATGGCCTAAGAATTTAACTTCTTTAAGCCAAAAATCACATTTGCTCAACTTGGCATAAAGCTTGTGCTCTCTTAATATCTCCAAAACAATTTTAAGATGTCTAGCATGGTCCACCTCATCTCGAGAATAAATAAGTATGTCATCAATAAAGACTACAACAAATTCATCGAGATAAGGCCTGAAGATTCGATTCATATAATCCATGAAGACAGCTGGGGCATTTGTTAACCCAAACGGCATCACGAGGAACTCATAGTGCCCATATCTAGTCCTAAAAGCAGTTTTAGGGATATCCTCTGCTCTAACCCTCAATTGATGATACCCTGATCTTAGATCAATCTTAGAAAATACTGCTGAATTGACTAATTGGTCTAACAAATCATCAATTCGAGGTAAGGGGTACTTGTTCTTGATGGTTACCTTATTCAATTGTCTATAATCAATACACAATCTAAGGCTTCCATCTTTCTTTTTCACAAACAGTACCGGTGACCCCCATGGTGATACACTCGGTCTGATAAACCCCTTCTCTAACAACTCTTCAATTTGTCTCTTCAATTCAGCTAACTCCGATGGAGACATCCTATAGGGTGCCTTAGAAATAGGCCCCGTACCAGGTGCGAGTTCAATCGAGAACTCAACCTCTCGTTCTGGAGGCAAACCGATTACTTCAGTAGGAAAGACGTTAGGGAATTCTCTTACTACTGGAATCTGATCTACACCTTCTTCAATCTCTGCCTTGATTGAGAAGAAAATCATAAAAGCTTGACAGCCCTTTCTTATACACTGTTCTACTTGAGCTGCAGACAACAACATAGGACTTTGGGACTCTACAGGGGTTACAGTAAGAGCTGAGAGTGACACACTCTTTTTCTGACAATCAAGTACAGCTCCATTTGCAGACAACCAATCCATCCCCACAATAACATCAATCCCAGACAAAGACAAACAAATGAGGTCTATGGTGGTCTTTCGACCCTCATACTCAACCTCTACATTTAGACATGCCTTAGCAGTCCTTACAGTCAAACCAGCAGGAGTAGAAATCTTCACATCAAAAGGTAAGGTACACACAGGCAATTTACATCTTTTCATACATTCATCAGACACAAAAGAGTGTGTAGCACCCGAATCAAACAAAGCACAAACATCATTATCAAGGATTCGGATTATACCTCGGATAGCATTAGGGTTGTTAGCAGCCTCTGGCCCAGAGAGGGCATACACTCGTGCTGGTACTGTAGGTCTCTGATCATTACCCCTATTTTGGTTTTGATAGCAGAATCTAGCAATATGACCAGGCTTCTGACAGATGTAACAAACCCAACAATCACCAGAATGAAACTTCCCACACTTACTGCATGCTTGATTACTAGCAGCACTAGGAGTAGGATTAAAGGTAGCTGGGCTCCTATAGGACCCTTGACTTCCACTCTGATTCCCTCTGTAGCTCTGGCCCTTATGATAGTAGCCCTTCTTCTTCTGATTTCTAAAACCTCCAAAGATTTGACTGCTCCTCTTCTCTACTCCACCAATGGGTCGGGTGTGGATAGGGGGCTTCCCATGAGGTTCTTTCCTCCTCTCTCTATCAGCTTCTAATCTAGCCTCTCTCTTCCTCCGAGAAACTATTCGAAGCTTATTGCACATCTCACTGAATGTCTTGATCTCAAAAGGGGCTAACTGTTCCCTTAGATCAGGCCTCGCCTTCTCTAGTAATCGTTCAGCCATCCACTCCGTGTCTTCATGTTTCTGGAGGTAAGTAGAGTATTTAGATAATTCTGAGAATTGTTCAATAAATTCATCCTCATCTAAATCACCCTGACGGAATGCATGAAACTCAGCCTCCTTTTCTGCTCTCAGTGCAGTAGGAAAATAATTCTCGAACAATATGGCTTTAAAATCTTCCCAAGTAAGAGAGGAATCATCCTTCGGTCCTGATGTTTCCCACCATTTCTTAGCACTCTTCTGTAGTAGGAATATTGCCAGCTGCACCTTTTGATTAGAAGTGCACACAACCATATGAAAAATACTCTCCAATTGATCTATCCATTCTTCAACTACCGCCGGCTTAAGATTCCCATCGAAAGTAGGAGGATTAAACTTACGAAAAGTACTCCAGATCTTTGTGATCGTGGATGTCTGTTGCTCAGAGTGGAGACTCACATTCTTCGGACTAGTCTCATGGTGAGAATAGGGAGGTAAGCCTTCATCAGCAGATTGGCTCGCATTGAATACCTTGGTATGGCTTCCTTCTTGTTGGCCATTTCCCTCTCGGTTATCATTCTCCTTATATTGTCTTAAAGCAGCCAACTCTTCTTCTTGTCTCTTCATACGGTCACTAAGATTATATAGTAGATCCATCATTTGTCTCATAGTTGGCTCATCCTGCCTTAGTTGTGACTGTATGGGCTCGCCCTGCCCAATTTGTTGCTGTGTGGACTCCGGTTGTGGCAGTGAAGGTATGTCATTTCCTATTGGCTCTATAGAATCACCGGTAATTTCGCCACCTCTCCTAGTTTTGGACACCATCTCTCCCCTCCTAAAGGATGGAAGTCACATAATTAAATTAACACTAATCTCAAGACAAGAAAAATAATGGAGAAGTATTATGATTTACTAATGTATATTGCCAATAAACTAGGTTAATGTATAACAATTTCATAATTTATAAGAATTTGAAACATGTAGCTCTGATACCAAAATTTGTAACACACCAAATTTTTTTTTTAAATAATTTAACTCAACCATAGTTGGGTTACAGCCACCCAACACATTTTTATATCAATAATTTTGATATAAAATATTTTATAATTGGCTTCAACTCACACACTATAACATTTCAGATAAATTTTTACCTCCCACATGCCATTAGGCTAAATCACATTTGTCCATCCTTATACTCCCAACAAGTAAACTAAATTACATTTGTCCATCCTTATACTCCCAACAAGTAAAATAAGCAATTTAATCAATTTTCAACACAAGCCAGTTATTTGACCTTATAATCATACCATTTTAACCAATCCAAAGTAAACCAAATATTAAAATTACAGTCATCCAAATTGTACCAAAAATAGAAATAGTTTGAAAGGCATGATTACATTTATATATTCATATAATTGACAATAAACATAAAAAAGTCCTAATATTGGCAATATAACACATTATAAATCATAAATTAAATATCCAAAAGAGACAGTGGATCTATACCACTAAGCCTCTGGGACTCCTCTACGTGTCACTCGTGGCTCTTCTCCTGAAAATTGTTAACCACATAATGAGACTCAAAAGTCCCAGTAACCAAAGCCAATTTATGATAGTGTATACAAACAGTTAAGTGTGTGCTTACTAAGTGAGAATTAAAAATAATATAATTCCAACAAATATAAGAAATATTATAATAAACACAAACAACCATCCTTATATCCCTCCATTAACCTCGAGCCGTAGCCCTCACTCGGTGCTAAATTACCCGGCCAAAGGTAGATTAGCCCGAGCCCTTACAAACCACCTATTGAGCTCCAATAGGGGCATACCACGTGGCACATAAATACAACAATAATAGCAAGTCTCCCAACACCTCCCACAATAATTAAACAAATTCATAATAATATTGCACAATTATACAATATTACAAAATTTATAATTTTCTCAATAATCACCCAATTAACAAGAAGTAACACTAATCACAAATTAAAAGCATGGTTACCTTGTGGCTTTTTCAATAAATTATTCCTTAAAATTTCTCTCTCTCCACAATCTTCACCAGTAATACAATCTACAAATAACATATTATTTATAAATATTAGTTTCAATTTTTGAAACTAATAAAATAATTCTAATAATAGAATTAAAAATATAACATAATTTCTAATCTCAATCTTAATACAAATCTATAGTTAATACTATTAAGTAAAATTTTTAACTCCTCTTTTAATTATCAATAAACATTAATAATCTAAAAATCAAATTTTAAACTAATTTCTATTATCAAAATTTTCTTTTTATTTTATAAATTCGTACCTAAAATACCCAAAAATTAAAAATTGAGTCTCTAGCTTAGAATCATAATCCTATAACCATAATAATTCATTTCTCATCCCAAATAATCATCTAAACCTCAATAAATCAACATATATTTTCAGATCTAGTTTAGAATTTGATCCATAAGCCACAGATTCAAAGATCATCAATAAATTTATACTCTAGAACATTTATTATACTACTGACAACCTCAAAAATCATATTTATTCAACATAAATTCATCCCTCTTCCAGATCTTAAATTTTCTACCACTACAAACTCAGAAACTAAATAAGAAGGATGACTAAGAAAAATTTTTAGAACACTTACTTAGTCTTGAAAAGCTTAAAATCACACCCTAAATATCCTATTAAAAACTCTTACCTTAAAAATTTAGATATTTCGCACCGGCAACTCGCTTCTCTCCACCTCAACTCGCGCACAGAATGAATGAGGAAATGAAGGAAGGTGAGTTTTTATAAAAATTCAGTGGGTCCCACACATTTTTTTTTATTATTATTTCTTCTTCTCTCTTTTTCCCCCCTTTTTTTTTATTATTATTTTATACTTAGTATTCATGCGGTGCCGAAAGCAAATTCGTTTTCTCTTCTTCTTCCTTTTTTTTTTGTTTTGGCATACCTTTTTACCTTTTTTTTATTATAATAATAATTTAATAATTAATTTTTTTAATTAATTTTTTTAATAAATTTATTTTTTTTAATTTTTTTTTAAATTTAGAATTATATCCTAAATTAGATTTAATAATCATTTTCTACTAATTTTCTTACCTCTAAATATTATTATTTTTTTTTTAAAAAAATTTCTATTAACCTAAATTAACTATTAAAATTTAAATTGGGATGTTACATAGACCCTTGTAATAAAACAATAAAACTCAAGCATATGAATTGGCGCGTGCCTTTTACGTGTCTAACTTTTACAAGTAATTCTTTTATGTTTTAGAATGAATCTTTTAGATTCTCAATTAATTTTCCCAGTCAAATGATTATTGATTTTTATCTTGGTAATTGATCCACTACTTGAATTTGGAAATTAAGTGGATTGGGGCCCCTTGTCAATGTTTCGCTAGAGTCAATCTGATTACAGCGATTCAAATGGTGGTGCACTGAAGGTTGTTCTTGTCCTGCTGACCTTCAATTCAAAGATTAAGCAATTTAGATATTCACCCATTTTTCTTCAGGTAAAGTTGAAAAGTCACTTTAGTTTTTATCTCTTTTTCTTCTTTCTTAATTATATTTGATCCATTGCTACTTACTAGGTAAACTCATGTGCTTGTCAGTCAAACGTTTGGAGGTCTTGCTAATTGTCATGCAGCTGCAGGCTGTCATCGATGAAGTAAAAGCATTTTGTATTCTTCTGCCTTTTTTCCCAATATTCTTCTGCCTTCTGTAAAAGCATTTTTCCTGTTGCCATTTTGAAGGACTTCTTTTCATTTATTGATGTCTAATCATCTGTTCATGTCACACTCAAACACACCTATCTACTAATATTTAAGCTTTTTAAATTTCTTACTGCTATACATTTCAGCATAGATTATAATATATAAGCTTAATTTCCTTTGCAGCTTTCTGTCACTCAGCAGTACATTTTAATGCCTCTTCTCCGTGAGAAAAACTTCATCAGGAGTGCATCAAAACCTGACTGAACAGAACTTTGCATCTCCTTCGTGAGGCATGTAATTTGAGCTCAAAAATAGTCTATAGTATGATCCTAAAAGATAAGCCTTGCCAAACGAACTTAATGTCCCGCCTTTTTTATTAGCTCAAAAACAATCTATATTCTGATCTTAAAAAAAGAAGCTTTGAAAAACAAACTATCACAATTGCTTATATTGCTTAGATATTTGTTTGGTCTATTCAAGGGGACTTATCATTAAGATAGATGATTTTTTTATGCATTTAATTTGCGCACACACTTGAACTCCGTGTATACCTGGGAATTTTATTTATTCTTTCAATAAGTTTGATTTAATATTTAGACTTATCCCTCCAACTTGCACTAACTTGTCATGTTAAGTTCTAAATATGGGAGTAAAGAAATTGTTAGGGATAAAACAACCTTAAAATCTTAGCTCTCGACATATAAACTTGGAACAAAGAAGAATTGACGTTAAAGTCTCACCAGTCAAGAATAAATATGCTGCAGCTTGCAATTGTAAAAGGCCCCACACTGCGCTTACTTTTAACTATATTGCATTGAATAAAGTCAATACTGTTTTTGCTGAAAATTTTCAGACTGAGGTGAAAGAGGATGCAGTAGATAGAGAGACTATGCCACGAGGACCATCAACCTTTGGTGCAACCTCGCGCTATGTATTCAAAAAACTATTATCCCAAGTCTGCACCCAGAAAGTCTATTCACATATATGTGCGCGCGCGCGCGCATATATAATCTTGAAAAAAAACATATAGTGGATATCTTTAATTAGGAATACTTTTAATTAGTTTTGATTTATGGTTCAGGATTTCAAAGGCATTTAACTCAATTGAGGTAAGGAATTATATTTTTCTTTGGCATCCGTGAAAGTTCATTATAACTTCTGCAATTATTGAGACTTGAATGTGGAAGTAACTACTAAAATTATTGAAATTAATAAATATAATCATTGTCTATTATCATGGATCTCTTTTTTGGTATAATAAGTCTATAAGACTAGAGGCTTGTATTTATTTCAATGATGTTTTATGTCCAATTTGATGTAGTCAAGTATTAGGTGAAGAGTTTTCTATCAAATAGCTCTTACATTATCTATTTTCCTGGAACTCTTTTTCATATAATAATGTTGTGTTCAATGATATTTTGTCAACATAAGTGAACTCATGTATGAATTTTTATTAAAAATATTTAGTTATCTGCCCTCTATATATCTGCATTGATATTGATATGTCTCCATGTCCATAGTCTATCAATTATCTATTTGTAATAAGCACACTTCGGAGACCTTGAAGGGTCTGAAAGAAGTATCAAAAGAATTAAAGATAGGTCTCAGAATTCACATGCACTCATCAATATTAGTGGGAGGCACTCAGATATCAAGTCTCTATCACAATATTAAAAAAAAAACACCTATTTTATATCTATCATAAATTTCTAAGATATCATGTTGTAGAGAAGAAGAGATTTGACAGTACATGAATTTTGCAGCTATCTTTGAATAGCTGAAAAGAAAAGGGCATTTCTCTTTATGTTACTTGATCAAAAGCTACAATGTACAGGTCCAATTAATTAGCTTCACAGGTTGAAAATGGCAGAATTTTCTTCCGTTGATCAAAAGCCGCTAAATGAAGCAAGGTGTTATTCCTTAAATTTGTTATAGCACAGACCATGGCAGGTTAGCATATTCTGCCTGTTTGTGTGATATTGTCCAATTCTGACATTCATTGAGCTTGAAATTTTTTTGGTCACAATCTTTGAAAAAATTGAATGCTCAATTATGTATGCAGCTTTTTTATGCTTCTTTTTCTGCCTTTTTTAAATATTCGCTTTAATTTTAGCTTTTTAAAGCATCGTCCACGAGTCAAGGTTTATTGAGGTTGAAAGCAAGCATTCCACGAGTCAAGGTTTATTGAGGTTGAAAGCAAGCATGAATGATCTGGCTTCAAAGTATCAACAGTATCAAGTTGCCAGTGCTGAAGAACTTGAGTGTGGAGGCAAAGAAGAACATGATGATGTCAATATGGCATCGAGGGATGGAGTTATCTCCACCTTATTATTGCTCAAATGATTACCATTATTCGTTCTTTTTTGTGAGCTCTAAGCTCTTTAATTGAATTTGTTTTATCAATGCATACGTACACACACACACGGATATATATATATATATATATATATAATATCAAAATAAAGAGACAAGAGATGACTAATGGCAATAAAGAGAATTAGAAAAAACAAAATGATTTCCTTTCTTTTTTTTTTTTTTACCTTTCGTGGTTTAGTTTTGAGATTTTTTAGTTGGAGCATATAATTCTTTTTATTTGATTAGGAATATATAATTGATTGTGAAAATATTCAGAACCAATTAATTAGAAGAGTTTTTTTATAAAAATATTATTAAATCATTCTTTCATATAAATTTTAATTTTTTAAAGAATAAAGTTGGTTGAAATTAATAAGTTGTTAGTTTTAATCCTCATAATTGTAAATGGTAAAGTCACATGAACACTAGCTATAAATCCACAATGCATTCACGTTAAAAAATTGCGTTTAGATACAGAGATCAAGATACAGATATCGTGGAGAATGAGGTTCTTTCAGCTTTCTCTCTTCTCTTTCAATTGATCATTTGCCAACAACATGAAATTTCCGATTTGATTTTTTTAAAAAAAAAAGCCTCTTTCTCATGATTCATTTTGCAAAGTTAAAGCTTGGATAGTCAACGTTATGATTTGACTCAAATCGTGAGTTTTCTCTATTGGTGTGCCCGCTTCTGTGAATATTGATGGCTTCTTTTCCGAAAAAGGGTGTTTTCAGCCTTGGCCTCATTTCACGTGCACTTCAACGTTAATGCTGAGAAGAAAATATTTTTTAGGGAGAATTTTATTTAAGGATCAGGAAAGCAATATATCTTCAGGTAGCTTTTAAAGAATTTCAAAATATTATTTCAGTCTTATGAGATTAAATTAAAAATAAGTTGAAAGTGAAAAAAAATTAAAATATCCTCAGTTCAGATATTTTAAAAAAAAGTCACCCGCCACCATCACTGAAGCATTGTTGTCGGTGACCGGAGCTTTGTCAGCAACGACAGCCACTGAACCTCCATTGCCAGAGCTCTGATCGCCGACTGGATCACCATCAGCGGTGGTTGGAGAATTATGGAGAATTAATTTCTCCAAAGGTGGATAAGGTAGGTGTAGAATCCAAGACCCCTTGGTTCACTAAAAAATTTTAGACCACCAAGCCACTCAACTTATGCCATCATATAAAGCATAAAATTATATGTATAATAAACCTCATTTTCAAACCACTTGATTATTATATTATTTGTTAATCACATAACTTTACTTATTAATACTTTAACAAGATTTGTTAATTACTTAACTTTTTTTGTTAACCCCACGACTTCTGCAACAGAAATAAATTACTTGTTGACCGCATAACTATACTTGTTAATACCTTAATAGGACTTGTCAATTATTTAACTCTTCTTGTTAAATCCATGACTCCCACGACAAAGCTACATTACTTGTTAATCATATAATTGTCATTATTAATACTTTAATAAGACTTGTTAATTATTTGAATTTACTTGTTAAATTCATAACTCCTTTAACTGAATTGTATTATTTATTAATCATGTAACTTTACTTGTTAATTCAACAATACTTATTAATTGCATAGCTTGACTTGTTAATACCATAACAATACTTATTTAACTGTTGTTTCGAAAAAGCAACCAAATTACTTGTTAATTGCAAAATTTTACTTGTTAATTCTTAAACAATACTTGTTAATTATTTATTGTCACTTGTTAAATGAATATATAATTTACATAAAAAATTAAGTTTGTTAGATAATGAAAGCGATGACAGTCGTGTTTTCCTTATTAGTATTCACCAAACTAGAGGTTTGAAAAATCTTATACAATTAAAGCCTAATATATTTTAACAAGTATGCTTAATACTGATAAAGGAAACCCTACTGTCATCGTTTTCGTTATTTGACAAACTCAATTTTTTATGTAAATTATATATTCATTTAACAAGTGACAATAGATAATTAACAAGTATTGTTGATGAATTAACAAGTAAAGTTATGCAATTAACAAGTAATTTGATTGCTTTTTTGAAATGACAGTTAAACAAGTCTTGTTATGGTATTAACAAGTCAAGCTATGCAATTAACAAGTATTGTTGTGTAATTAACAAGTAAAGTTATATGATTAATAAGTAATGCAATTCAGTTGAAGGAGTCATGGATTTGACAAGTAAATTCAAGTAATTAACAAGTCCTGTTAAGGTAGTAACAATGACAGCTATCCGATTAATTAGTAATGTAACTTTGTTTTGAGAGTCACGGATTTAATAAGGAGAGTTAAGTAATTGACAAATCCTGTTAAGGTATTAACAAATATAGTTACGTGATTAACAAGTAATTTATTTCTGTTGCAGGAGTCGTGGGGTTAACAAGGAAAGTTAAGTAATTAACAAGTTCTAATAAGGTATTAAAAAGTAAAGTTACGCCATTAACAAGTAATGTAATAATCAAGTGGTTTAGAAATAACATTTATTATATATATAATTTTATGTGTTATATAATTGAATGGGTTAAATGGCTTGGTGGTCTAAAAGTTTTTGGTAAACTAAGGGGTCTTGTGTTTTACACCTACTTGGGCCACCTTTGGAGAAATTAATTCTCCATAATTTTTTAGCCACCGCTGATGATGGTTCAGTCGGCGGCTAGAGCTCTGGTGATGGTGGTCTAGTCGAATGCTAGAGCTCTGACGATGGAGGTCTAGTGGCTGTTGTCATTGGTGAAGCTCCGATCACCGACAACAGTGCTCCAGCAACAGTGGTTGGTGGTTTTTTTTTTTAATATTTGAACTAAGAGTATTTTGGCTTTTTCTACTTTCAACTTATTTTTAATTTAGTTTTATAAGACTGAACTGATATTTTAAAAATTTTTAAAAACCACTTGAAGATACGTTGCTTTCTTGATTTGTTGTTGTTGTCTCCCTACTTTTTATATTAGCCACGAATAAGACTTGCAAATCGCTCTTTCTCAAAATATCAATAATAATAAGATGAAGAAGAGCATATTTAATAGTTTTATCTATTAACAAATGAAATCTTTTTTCTTTGGTGATTTACAATATAAAAGGTAATTGTACCAAGCAACATAGATAAAAATGGACAATAAATGAAGTTATTTTATGTGTAAGTGGAACACGAAGTAAATTGTAACATGCAAATTTGTATTTTAGTATATATTTTTTAATGTTAAAACTTTTTTCAGAAAGTAAAATCAGAAAAAATAACTCTACAAATAATAATAATAAAATGAATATTTATTGGCATATGTTACCACCCTCCCACTGTAGGTGTAAAACTGATCAGTAATAAATTGAGAATTTAATTAGTTATTACCGTATTTATTGTTTATTGAAAAAATCACAAACATTATTATTGATATTTATATACATGCTGTTTATGCTGTAAAAATGTTATATAGATTTCATAAAGGTTGCTTTTTTGTAAAGTAAAACAATTCTAAAAGAGAAGAGATATTACTTTAAGTAGTACATATAAAGAAATGCTATCGTGCAACGCATGGAAAGTGAACGTACATTTGTAAAAAGTGATGTCAATTGAGGGTAGTAAAAAGTGGTGTACCATGTAGATCCTTTCTAATAAGTATAAATTGTATAATGTTATTTTAATTATCATGATAAAATTTATTTATTATGTTAAATTTTTTTATTATAATAAATTATTTGTGAAATGATTTATTCCTGTAACAAACTCTGATCTATCATGGTAAAGTTTTTAACAGGAGGCTTTATTTTTTAATTATTATGACAGTCCATTTTCTATCATTGTAGGCGTTTAATATTATTAAATTTATTTAATAATTAATTAATTTATGAAAAATAAATTTAAAAATTTAGAGCGTTACGAGTTATTTATGAATTTAACTTTACTTGTTTATATTCATAATGATATTATACTGTTAATAAAAGTTATAAATTTTAATTAATTATTTATTTTTTATACATCAATTATTTAACTTCCTTACATGAGTTGTAAATTTCATCAAATTTCATTAGAGATAATAAAATTATTTTAATATATTTTGTAATTTTATTTTAATCCCTATGCAATAAAGTTTCAAAATTTTAGTCATTTTAACTGAAATTAAATTTGTTCAAGCGTCCTCCTTTCAATTTTCCATCTGAAAAATATCTCCGATAAAATTGATAATGCATTATTCATCTAGAAAATTCTGAAACATCGCGGGATTCTTAAAGAAGCGGGAAGCCGTGTATTATGCTCGCCCCAATTCCGAAGGCATCGGAGCTACGACAGATTGGCTTTATCCCTTATCCGTTGTTTCTCCCTGCATTTCCTGGATTCAAACGGTTCTTTGCATTTCTTGGACAATTTAATTTGACTATTTTCTCTCGTAGTCGGGTATGTTTCTGTCCCGTTGCTTTTGCTTCCAATTACGGTTTTACTGATACTGAATTTCATTTTCTTCTCGTTTTCAAAAATCTACCATCAAGGGCCTTGTGTTGTGTTAATCTACTAAAATTCCTTTCCTTCTTTCTTGCCGTGAGAGGCTACTTTTCATTTTCTATTCATTTCTAAAAATATGGTTGATTATCCCTTGTATACGTCGTGTGAGTGCGTCCTCTGTCAGCTTCTGATATATGGCAGCTCAACTTTCTTTGACTTTGGTTTTCTTCAATCCAGTTTCTTGAAATTTTCAAGTTTCTTGATTTGTATTGCTACGGATTTTAAATTTTGGGACTGCGTCGGTAAGTGTTGTACTATTTGAAGATGTACTGGGATTATTTTGTTCATTACGTAGATCCTTTGTATCTTGGGATATAATATAACTGTCTGCAAACATTTGATTCTAACTTCTCCACTTGGCGTGATGAAACCAGTTTAATTAATATTTGAAAGCTTGTAACCGAGAAAAAAAAAAAAAAGAACCTGAAAGTTTGGGGAATATGAGACAATTTGAGGACCTGAGTTCTTTAGTTTTAAAAGACCTGCAATAATAAAAATCTCATTCTTTTTCCATGTTCTTAATTCTTGAATTTGCCACCATCGAACTGCTTTCACATTATTATTATTATTATTATTATTATTATTATAATTATTATTTATTGAATTTCCCTTGGATTGTCATTGTTAGACTTTAAGGTCGATCTATGGATATTGATGACATTTTTGGTATCATCCGACCTATGAGTGTTCCAAGGAAGAGTGCAATTTATGTATGGGGATACAATCAATCTGGGCAGACAGGTAGAAAGGAGGATAACGACCAGTTGCGGATTCCAAAGCAGCTGCCTCCTGAGCTATTTGGATGCCCAGCTGGTTTAAATGCACGCTGGTTGGATGTTGCTTGTGGTCGTGAGCATACAGCAGCAGCAGCCTCTGATGGGTCTCTGTTTACTTGGGGTTTGGAAATTTTTTGCGTTCTGTGTCCCTTCTTGATATAACGTAGTGATAACCAAAATCCGTATAGATATCAAGAAGATTTGGAATTTCTTTTTGTTTTCATCTTGAATTTACTCTGTTTACTGTGAGGTTGTAATCTATAAGCAGTAAGTCATATTTTAATCAGGATTGATACTATTATTCTTATCGTAGGGGCTAATGACTTCGGTCAATTGGGAGACGGAACTGAGAACCGAAGCAAATATCCCAAGAAGGTAAAACAGTTAATGTCTGAGTTTGTGAAATCTGTGTCTTGTGGAGCCCATTGTACTGCTTGCATTGCAGAACCCCGTGAAAGGGATGGTACCAAGCCATCTGGAAGGCTCTGGGTTTGGGGACAGAATCAGGTAGGTCTTATAGTTGTTGAAGAATGTCAGTTTATTTTATGAATTTTGCTCCCAATTTCAGCCCTGTTTCTCCTCTCTCTTCCTCCTTTTAACCTCATGTACGTCATCATTTAGTACTGTTTTCCAAAAGATCTTGTGGATTAAAGTTGATTTCTATTCTGTACCACAGGCTTCAAATCTTCCTCGCTTATTTTGGGGTGCTTTTAAACCTGATACGGTAAGATGTATTTTGTTGCATATATTGTTGACCATTCACGTTTTGAATTCTAAACTTATTTTTGTTAGTTCTTAAAATTTTGCTTGAGTTTCCAACATTTGACAACTTAATGGATAAACCATTGTTAGTACATAGATTGTATAACATTTTAACTCATTCTAAATTGAGAAGAAATATTATCGTGTACATAGTCAATACTTGTTGCTATTTTAACCTCTTTTAACAAGGGACAATGGATGCAATCCATCAAATAAAAGCCTCTATCATGTTGGATTTCATTGTGTGCACCATTGGCCACGTATAGCTATTTTGGAAATTTTAATATGATCACCAATGATCATTGGTTTGAATAACTTGATCGTAGTTTTCCATCTCTTGCTCATGCCTCCTTTTAGAGATAGTGATCCTAAATAGGCAATGTAAAATGGCAAATATTTAGGTACTTGTATTAAAATGAAGGATGCTCTTGGGTAAGAGCTCATAATAATCATAGTTTTCCACTCAGTGATTCTTTCCTTTTAGTTCAACCCAAGTACCTCACTGTACAAGCACTCACTGCAAGAAGTCGATAAGTTAAATTGCTTCATAAGATGACACAACACGTTGCTAGATTTCAAGAAGCTTGCTTTCATAAGATCCATTCTGTCTCATTGTTCCAACTCCTCCTTCACTGTTTTATTCTCAATTTCCTTGTCTTCCCTTCTGCTTTGGTTTCTCCTTGAGGTCCATCAATACCCCCTCCAAGAAAAAAGTTTCACCTTGTCCTCTTGATGGAATTGAGAGGATTGAAGTTGGATGACTCGGAACTTTTCCCATGTGTTCCCCATATGTTCTTCCATTATTAGATGATGAATTGTGTTTCTGTTTTTCCATTTCCATTGGTCAGTTTTTTGACTTGGTATGCTTTCTTAGGGCGCATTTGCTATGATGGAATTAGGAGTTATGGATATGAAATTGGAATTGGAGAAAATGTTTGTATGGTATGATGCAATTAGAAAAATTTTCAATTCCAATTCACATGAATGGTTGGAGTTAGCTTTTGAGTTCAGATGCACGAGCTCTTGGGGAGCAGGTCAAGTTTGTAGATTACTGCTGCCTCTATATTGTCCAGTTCCTCATTTGCATTATAACTTTCTTAATCACATTTTTAGCCAATGAGTTGAGCTTGCTTGGTTTTAGCTTGATATAAAACAAAATCTCCTCCATGAAACTGGATATCTCTTTGAATTTTCTATGTTTCATTATGAATCCTTGCTTGGTCATGCACCAAGTTCTCTTCCAATGCTTCCCAAAATGGTGTTTCTAGCTAGCAGTTGCTTAGTCACTCCCTCCATGACAAAAGGCTCATAATTAAACTTCAAATAAGGTACGGAGGTCCTCTCAAATATTGTCACAAAGGTTGCTGTACCGGGACCAGTGGCTGGGATTTTCTCTAAACTCCTATTAAACCACCTTAGATTGGCCATGAATTTTTGGTGATAAGAGGAGCTACTGAATAGAGTGGTGTTAGTCGGCTTGAAGAGTTTAAAGGTTTGGAAAATCTTGTAATATTACTGCTGTAGCTATGAAAATTTCAGTCACTTATTTTGCTTAAAAGGGGTGAGTTACGGGTATAAAATGAGCAAACTTGGTTAGGCAATCTACCTCTTCCAAGATAGTGTTCAATCTCATTGATTAAGTTAGGAATATGATGAAATCTGTGTGAGTGGCCTGTCAACCTTGCTGATGTTGGCAAGGGCTGGATCAAACCTGCTAGATGGCAGCACTGATATTTGTTCTTTTGGAAAATGTCACACGTAGTCACAAAACTACTTGTATCTACCCGTACCTCCCAGTACACTGTTTATTGCCCCCTGTGTATGTATTTATGAAGAAACTGTGAATGTTTCCTAAAGAAGCGTGAAATACATAGATTTTGGCTTCAACTCTTGGAGTTTTCTGTGCAGAATTAGGGCCAGTTTTTAAAAATTAAAGAAAGTGATTGTAGTTAACACTCTGGTTGTTGGGAGAAATTAAGCTAATCATGGAGGTTTTGTTGGAATAGATGTTTTTGACAAGCTATCCAAATAACTTATCAAAATAAGCTTTTTCCAACACATCCTTCATGTGTTTAGCTTAAAGTCTCTTAATAATTCTCTTATACTCCTGACAACTTTCTTCTGTTCAGCCAAATGAAATCACTCTTTTTCTTTTTCCCTAATCTTAAACAAACTGGCCCTTAATCTGTTTTTGTATAATAAACATTTTCTCTTAAGGTTTTACTTCTTAGGTGGAGATAAGTTGGTGATAACCTGTTGAATTATTTGAGAAGACGTAACATATTTCTTGTATCTCCTCCTTAATACTCTAGTTTCACATTGTGCCTTGAAGCTAAAGCTTGAAGCTTCATGCCTATATTTTTGTATTGATTTTGTATTGACAAGTGTCTTATTTTCCTTTTCCGTTTTGTATTGCATGTCAAATTTGAAGCCTGTAAGTTTTGAAACCCAACTTTGTCGTTCATCATCCTGAATCCTCTGTTCTAAAAGATATTAAAGGGCTTTTTGATCAGTCTTGAAATTGAATTTGTTCTCCATAAAATAAAGCCTCCCACTTTTATATTTCTATTAAAAAACTTTTCTGCATGAACCCAAAACACCTATCCCTCTTGCACTCTTGAACCAACCAAACCATTCGTAATTGTTAATAGCAATATATGGGCCTATCAAGGGTAAATAAGAGGAAAAATGTAAAATGGTTTGTAACTTT